TATTATTATTTTATACAGTGGTAACAATAATCTATGATAAACTCATAGCAAAACAAAATCATTTTTATCTTATATCTTTTAAAAGTGTACAGTACATTTTAAAATAACATCAACCAAATTTACAAATACTTATTTTTAACACTAATCAAGTAAAAGGTGGATTGCCTCTGAAAAAAAGTTTCACAAATGAACAGTATATGATAGATTGCCCAAGAAGCAATAAGAGATTCAAAGTCAACAATTGTGGGTATGGATAGAAGGAAATCCATATTACCCTTAAAACTTGGATGAATAATGGAGAATGAATAGATAAAATGGGATTAAAAAAAAAGCTTCACAAATGAATAATAAACGGTAGATTGCCTCTTTTAAGATAGTAGAGATTAAGGGAAAATTACGGTCAATGTGCCAAACCTTTTATTTAGTTGCAGACTTTACTCAAATCTTTCACTTATGCCACTTAAGGTACCAAATCTTTAAAAAATCGCAGCTCCAATGCAGATTGACGATTTCCGTTTATTTGACTACAAAAATTGTTAGTTGACCCCAAAAATGAAAAAGATTAATATTATTTACCAAATAGATAATGGCAATTTGGGTATTACACACTTTTTCTTTCTATTATTGCACTTCACTATTCATTTTCCCTCTATTTCCATCACTATCAATATTTTTCCCTCTCCCACAGTTAGTCAGGAAAAATCGGCACGTAGATGGAGATGAATGTATGCAGATGTGATTCCCTGGCGTAGATGAAGACCTCATGGACGAATCTAAACCCAGGAAGAAGATTTCTCACTTGTCCTTGAAGCCAATATCTGGGTAGATGTACCTTTTTTGTGTGGTGTGACCTTTCTATGTATGATCTCTCTAGGGAGTTGATTTCAGGTCTATTAAGGGCTAGGAGGGAAATGGAAGCTGAAATGGGCACCCTTCAAGCAACAAGACCAAATGTGTGGAAGACTTGGTTGTTCAGCTTTGTGTGTATAGTGTTCGTAAAATGGGTTTGTATCTAGGTACGTAGGATGGGTTTGTGAGATGGGCGTTTTTAGCCTCAGAAATTTACATTTAGTATTTAGGCGATGGGAGTTTTGTGTTATATGTTGTGAAATGTGGATGTAAAATGTGGTTGTGTTGTACCTTTCTTCCTTGAAATGAAGTGCCACTTTCTGTATTATTAATGTTACTGTCTTTTACATTTCTACTTCTACCCTTTGTTTAATGAGAAATTAAAGTTCAGATCACACTCCAAATGTTTTGTATATGGTGTAGCAAAGGTACCAAAAAAACTCGAGTCATTGAATTCCTCTTCCTCTTTATATTTATCATTTATGGAATCTACTTGCACATCATATACATTGTCTTCTTGCTCAACACGATGATCTGTTTCAGTGTCAATATGTGGTTTAGTTTGCTCTGGTTCAGAGGTTCAGTTTGCTCTAGTTGCTACAGTTCAATATGTGGTTCGGTTTGCTTTACGTGCTCGGTTCCACATCAGTTTGTCTAACCTACACCTTTGATTGACAATATAGCACATCAGGTTCAATAGCCTACACTTCTAATTGACCATACTGCACTTCAATTTCAGCAGCATGCACCTCTAATTCATCAAACAGCACATCAATTTCACTAGTCTATGCCTCAGGTAAGTCTGCTTCAAAACTACCATCAAAATCCACACCAACCACTGGTTCAACCCTAGTTAAATCAACCTCGATTTTCCCAACCTCTACCTTTGTTTGACCAACATCAGTTTTACCAGGATAAGCTACTTCATCTGCTTTTATGTCATCTACTTCATCAACTATGTACAAGTCGTCACCTGCTAATGAATAATCATAAACCTCAATAGCATGGTTGTTTCTCATCCATTGGTTTATCATGTACACTAAACTTTTCAACAATAACCAACTCCTCACCAGTCTCACAATCAACTACATAAATATTTTCATCACATGACAACTCCAAAACCCCAACACAGGCAAGTAATACAATTCAACCATCCTACTTTCACCAAGCCACTTCATTACATTCATGAAATCTAAATATTTAACCAACAAGGATGATGTTTCACTCAATCTCTTCTTCTCCATCTTGTACAGATATTTGATTCTACCAGAATATCCCAACATCTTCATGGCATTGTCAAGAAGAAATCCGTTGAAGAAAATATGGTTGACATAGTCCAGATAACTTACTTTACCGTGCTCACACACAAAATTTCTCATATTTTTAAATAAAATTCTACCATGATGTAGACATATGCTAAAATACTTTGTATTTTCCCAAAACAAAAAAATCAAACCTAACCCTTTTTTTAGTTCGAGCAATGCACATGTACATAATAAACTATTACATAGTATATTAACTCCCAAATTATCAAATCACTCAACATTTTCACATTTTCCAGTTCATGAAGACTATCTATATGCACAGCTTGAAATAGCAAAATTTCATACCATAAGTGGGAATTTCAAGGAGCGCACTTATCATAAATAGGTTGGGGAAGAGAGTCTCGAATATGGGATGCAAAATCTGGTGGAAGATCATCTTCTTTTTCGTATCTGTCATCCCCATCATCGTGGGTTTTCGCATGTTCCATAATGGATGATGAAATGAAGAGTAATTGACTTTTTTAATTTTAAAAAAAGGGTGTAATGTCCAAATTGCCCTTATTTATTTAGTGAAAATTATTAATTTTTTACATTTTTAGAGTAAAATAATGATTTTGGTAGTCAAATAGACGGAAACCGTCAATCTGGACTAGAGCTACGATTTTTTTGAAGATATGGTACCTCATGTGTCATAAAATGAAAGGTTTAGGCAAAGTTTGCAACTAAGTGAAATGTTTGATACATTGGCTGCAATTTTCCCTATTATTAATCTTATAATTTCGAGTTAATTAAACCATGTTTGATTTTCTTTACTTTACTCTATTTTATTCCTTATACTCATTTTTAACTATACATTTACAGAATGAAATGGGATAATTGCGGCAAAAGCTCCAAACCTTTGAAATTTAGCAGACTTTCTCCAAATTTTTTATTTGTTGAACCGTCACCCCTAACATTTTCAAACATTGCACGTGAGGCCCTTTTGGACGGTTTCCATCCATTTTTCCGTCATTTGACCCCTAAATTAAAAATTGGCAACTCTCTACCAAAATTGGGGAAGCAAAATGGTAACTTACTATTTTTCCCATAAAATAATTAAAAAGTCAAATAAAAAAAGGAATATGTATTTCTTCTCCCTCACCCCACGCCCACCCCACGCACAAGCCCAACCCATCAACCCAAAACTAGAAATTTGCCACCACTACGTCCACCGCCATCGATCACCACCACCGTGAACACCAATTTCTTGTTGATTCTTTATTCTTCTTCTCTGAGTGGGCAAGAAATGGCGACTTCAATTTACAAGCACCCACCAATCTCACCCCCACAGTCCCAATCCCTACCCCAACCACAATTCTTCTTCAAACCCACTTTATTGAAGGCCAGAAATGCCTATATACCCATTGCCTACAACTGAGACTTCAATTGAAACCCTCTTCCCTAAATGCGTCAGTGCATTACTTCTTATCGTGGGTAATTTGGTGCAGCCAAGGCCTATAATTTCTGTTGACAGTAATGTTGAAACAATAGGTAGATCTATACATGGGTCATCTGAAAATCATACTTCTTCTGAACTAGTAACAGAGAAAAGTTTGACTCCAGTCGCCGTTGATAAAGAATCAGTCCCTGTTTTTGATAACATACTTGGAAAAATGACTGGTCAGTAGACGATGGAGGAGAGTCGTATGGTAATGTCAATTGTGTGTGACTTGATAAAAAGGCATGTACCACCTATGGTACTGCAGGCTGTTCTTCATATATGTGCTCGCTTGACAAAATCACATGCTTTTGCTGTGCAATTCCTTGAAAGTGGCGGCATGACTTCCCCTTTTGGTATTCCAAGAAGTTGCTTCTTTCCTGGATATGACAGGAAGCGCAGTCGATAACAAGCCGTTCTTCTTGAAGATCCCCAGACATTGCAATCAGCCATTGAATTGGAGATAAGACAAACTCCGAGTGGAAACCGTCATTCTAGTCATATTTCTATGAGAACGTTTTTGACATCAACAGCGCCTGTTAAATTGAAATCTCATCCCACCAACCCAACCCCTATCCCCACCCCCACCCACTATTTTGCTTCAAACCCACTTTATTGAAGGCTAGAAATGCCTATATACCCATTGCCTACAACTTGATTAGCCAGCTTGGTGGGTGCCTGTAAATTGAAGTCACCCTTTTTTGCCCTCCCCTATTTTGGTAGAAAGTGGTCAATTTTTTATTTTAGTGGTCAAATGATGGAGAAATGGATGGAAACCGTCCAAAAGAGCCTCACGTGTAACATTTGAAAAGTTTAGGGGTAGAGATGTCAAGACGGATGGGCCAACCAGACCCGTGAAAATCGGCCCAGATCGACCCGGTATCGCGGGCCGACCCGTGACCCGAGCGGGAGGTTCACGGATCAAGGAAGTGTGACCCGCGGATTTCACGGGTTGCACCTTCACGGACCGCAATTAACCCACTGGCCCGTGGAAAAAAAAAATTTAAATTGAAAAAATGGGGAGAGAGAGCCTCTCCCTAGCTAGCTTGCTGGCCTGCAGCAAGCTGGCAGTTAGGTGATTACAAATTAATATTTGATAATAGTATTTAGAAATGTATTTAGTTGTTATTTGTTTAAGTTAAATTTAACTTTGTAAAGTTATAAATAATTTATATAACATTAAATTTGAATTCTATGTAATATTTATTGATATAAATATGAATTTATCATTTTATTCAATTCTTAGTTTACATTTATAAAAAAAAAATTTTTTTGTTATAAATATGAAAAATGTTATATTTTTATAATTTTATTTATACAATAATACGGGCCAAATTGGAACAAATCACGGCCCCTGGAACCCGTGACCCGCATAGGCTCGACCCGGATGGGTCAGGAGCGGGCCTGGGTTGTAGTCCAAAATTTGTGGGCCGACCCGGAACCGATTCGGAACCCGTATCGGGCGAGTTTTTTTTCACGCGGGTCGTTACTGGACTCATATGTTAGTGGATCAACCCGATCCGGACCACCCGGACTAACACTTCTACTTAGGGGTGACGACTGTAACAAAGATTTGGGGAAAGTCTGCTAATGTTTCAAAGATTTTGGGTTTTTGTTGCAATTATTCCTAATAAAATATTCTATACGTATATTCAAAAAATTTCTTAATTTTTAACCACGCATCTTTCAAAAAATATTATTCAAAAATATTTTTTTAATTTAAGGCCACCAAAAAGGGGCTAAAGCTCATGTTTGGTCTTTTTTTTTTAAATGCATATTTTCAAAATTTATTTTCACATATGCATTCTTCTATATAATAATATTATACGTAAACTCAATTTTTTTTTATCTTTTAGCCCATGTTTGACAACCATTATTTGAAAACTTTTTTTTCTACACTCATTTTCAACCACTCATTCACACGCTAAAATATTCTACACGTAAATTCAAAATTTTTCTTACTTTTTAACCACGTACATATTCTCTTAAAAATCACTATTCAAAAAATTATTTTTTCCAAATAATGGTTATCAAACAAGGATTTAACCACACATTCTCCAAAAAAATAACTATTTTAAAGTACATTTTCTCCCAAAATAGCATTAAAATCCTGTTTGACAATTATTGAGTTTTGAATAGTGATTTTTCGGAGAATGTGCAGTTAAAAAGTAAGAAAAAACTTTTGGTGTATGTGTAGAATATTTTATTGTATAAATATGTAGTCGAAATGATTATTTAACAAATCATAAAATAAATTAAAGAGTGTTAAACAGACACTAAAATGGAGCAACAAGGGCAAAATAATGATTATTTACATATAAAATAATTGCTAATTTTTTTTTTTTACTGTTCGTAGTAAAGACTATCGATAATCATTTTATGTGATATATATGTGATAGTTTGTTATTTGATACATTAATGTAGTAATTTTTTATTGTTTCATACATTAAATAACAAACTGCCACATATATACTACGTGGAAAATATTCTATCAAGGGAAAACATCTCCTATCGAAGATAAAAATATTAAACAAAATATAAAAGTTTTGATTAATAAAATTATTCTTTTAAAATTTAACTATACTCATCTTATTCAAAACCTTCCCAAGTATACTAGTTTTGTCATTTTAGAGATTCATTCGCCACATTTTAAATAAACCGCATAGTCCAATTGATAGAGTAGCATTCTCCAAAAAAATCACTATTTCAAAATTTATTTTTCTCAAAATTTGTTTTTAATGGAGCCAAAACAGCAGCTTAATCTTTAAAATCTTCAATATTTTATGTATCAAATTAATGTAGACTTTGACAAATTTGCAATGACCTATTGATTTGTAGGGTGGTGAACAAGGTTATCACTATAAGAAAGCGTGCATGTACTTGTGCCCCTAAGCATGGGAAGACCATCGCCTAACAGATTAATTATTGGGATTTCATTTCGCGTTTTCATATAGTTCTATTTACATTGGATTCTGCAACCGATATTAAGAGCATGTTTAAGTCCCCTTTTTTGTCCAAAATGTATTTTGAAATGGTGATTTAGTAAAGAATGTGTGATTAAAAAATAAGGAAAAATTTTAAATTTACATGTGTTAACATTCGAGCTGAGACCTAATTAAATCCGTTTGTTAAATACACTCAGCTTTTCCTAATTTAAGATCGGCTTTATAAGGTCAGCTCGTATTAACGATCGTCGTGGTTTGAGGGAATATATGATTATAGATTTCTTACACACTGTTAAAACATCCAATCAATTAATTACATTCAAAACTTACATCAGTACCCACCTATTTCACTAATCGTATGATGTAGCTTCGTCCTCTCACTGGTTCATTAATTGTTAGGGACCCATTTAAAGGACAGTTTTATGATAACTTGACGAAGCCAACCTCAGTAACCAATGGAAATATGCCATTAATGTACTTTTTCAATTCGATACTGTTGACTGACAAGACAGAAATGTGAAAGATACGGAATTTTCTTTTCCTATAAAAAGGTGTAACGTATCTTTAGAAAAAAAAAAAAAAAAGAAAAGAGAACACCTTCATGTTTCAAATATCTCATTTGGTGAAAACTTCTGTAATTTATAAGTGATTATCAATAAAAATCTTTATTTGCTTTCAAAGTTGACTTGAATTTGATTCATACACTTTTTAACATTAATAATGTGTAATATTATTTTATTGAATAATGTGTTGTTTATAATAAGTGAAAAAAAATACATTTAAAAAAAAAAAAATTGCCATTACGTATTCTAATTAGCCAAGTCGCCCTTCTCCTTCCTTTGTACGATTTAACATCAAATTAACATCTTCCAATCTTTCGTTTGTGATTTTCGATCAATTCAAACTGAGAAAAATGAAGTTATTTTTTTTATTTTTAATTAAATTATTTGTTTTTAAAAGTTTTATCATTGACTAATAAAATGTTTTTATTTTTAAATGTACTTATTTATTTATAAGTAAACTTACCCATAACTATAACTAATAATATGTTTTTATTTTTAAATGTATTTATTTATTTATAAGTAAACTTACTCATAACTTATTTATTTAAGCAATTTTTGAGTCTATTTGAATAGTTTTGAAAGTGTTTCTTCTAATTAGAAGAACTTTAGTAATATAGATTATGTTTGGTATAGATTAAAATTCGATTTTAATTTTAAATTAAAGTCAACAATTAATTTTAACTCAACATTTAGTCTCCGTTTGATAGTATATTTTGATAAAAGTTGATGAGATATATGGTTGAAAAGTTGTGGACCCCATAAAATATGTGATTGTCCATGTTTGGTGGAGATTAAAATCAGATTTTCAATAAATTTAAATAAAAGTTGATTAAATGAGTGATTCAAAAATTGTGGATAACATGAAATACGTGATTAAAATTATTTGTTGACTTTGATTTATATTAAAATTTTAATTTTAATTTTCATTAAGCATGGGGAAAATATGGTTTGTAAAGTGTAATTACAGCTGTGCAACTTGTGTCCACAAACAGTTAGATTTTTGTCATTTTTGGTGCAAAATTAACATTACAATAAAAGTTTGTTTGATTGTAAATGTGGAATTTGGATGGAAGGAAAATGAATTACATGGAATTGAATTGCCTAAAATTTGTTATATTGGAATTGTAATTAATTGTGTTTTATTAGTATAATTTTTCACTTGAAAAATGTTGAAAGTTTGGTATCCGTTTGTCTTCGTTTTTCATGAAAATTGTCTATTAAAGTGATAATTTTTTAACCATTTGGTCTAAAATTTGTTCGAATTGCCAAAAAAAAAAAAAAATTACTATACCGAATACTATTTGTTTGACTTTATTTTGTATGAAAATTGTCAATAAAAGTGATAAATTTTTTTACTATTGTTTTTAGAATTTTTCCAATTGCCAAAAAAAAAAAATGGAAATTGATTTTCCATAAACCAAGGAAAAGGTGATCGTGTGAGCCAAACCAAGAAAATGAATTTCATGAAAAAAAAAGTGTATCAAACAAGATAAAAGTGAAAGTTGGAATCAAACAAAACTTAATAGATATTTCCCGTGTGCAGACACACGAAATTAATTGAGGGAGAAAATGACACTACTAAAGACAGCAAATGAATAGCGGATCTTTGTTTTTTGTTTCTTCGTACCTTTTCTGAGTACAAACAAAAAATCCTACCCTTTTTGAAAAAAAAAATGGTTGATCCCTAACTTTGAGGGTCCCCCATTGAAATCCTACCCTTTTAGCTATGACTCCAACTGCGTTGGAGTTTATGTGTTGATTTTTATTTTTATTTTTTAATTGCTCAATGAAATAATGACATGTATCCTCCTTATAAAAAAAATCTGTTTATGTAGTAGGGTTGCTTTTAATACAAGGATATTTGTACAATTCAGAAATTATGTGCGAGCGATGTGTGACAAAATTGTTTTAAAAAAAGAGTTTCTTTATTTTAAAAATTAAAGAGGAAGCAGTTTAGGT